TGCCACAGGATATAATTTGCAATATTTATTGCTTCTGATGTGTTACCACAGTGAAACTGTACAACTTTAATATTCAGTGGAGAATTGTGACTTATCTTCTGACTCTGCTAACTCTGGATGAATTTCTGTGGCCCAACAGAAGATAATTTTATTATTTAGGCTTCTGAAAAAAGTAGAAGTTTTTCAGCTCCTTAACATAAAATTGAATGGGAAATTTTAACTACATAATGTGGTAGGAAATGACAGTGTAACTGTAATGTTTATGACGAAAGAGATCAACATTGTCTGTTCTTGTTTTCCAGCTAAATGCATTGAAGTTCTGCAGTTTGGAAATGGATTTGTTATGGATGTCTGCTTATCCTTCTTGCCTGGCAGCAATGGTAAGTACAGCTGCACATCTTGAATATCAACACAGGAAACGTAAAATCTAAGAAATCCTCCAAATAGATTTTCATTTGACTGACTCCAGACCCTTGTGCCATGTTTTTTGTTTTCTAAAGAATCAGCCTCAGCTTCTGCTTGTATCTAAAGATTTTCACTGAACAATTCTTAGCGATTGGAAAAATACGGGCTGATCACAGTGTCTTCAAAATGGTGCTCAAATGGAGTTCTTTAGTTGAACTATTGAGACAGCTTAAAAAGGGGGTAACAGGGCTGTAAGTGCATGGGATAGGATGATACTGTTAGTTTTACCCAGTGGTTGTGGTTGTGGTGCTGCTGCGTATGTTTGATCTTTTTGTTTGGGTTGAAGGGCAAGATCCAGCAAAACAATCTGCAGGCCTGCATCAAAACGTACAGGTTGATGAATAGTGTTTATCACCTATTCAGTCTTAAATGTGAAAAAAATTGAGATTCTGAACAAGTTTAACCTGACTGTTCAGTATGGTTTGTATAGTTTTCTATTAACATAAATGTTGAGATTTTGTAGCCTGCCACAGACACATTCTTCTGTTTCAAATTTGTAGAAGCGTTTTTAAAAAAACTAAATATATCCTCAAGCCAGTTACATATGTTGAATTAGGTTTATGTTTAAGTATCATTAGAGCCTTTCACCTCGATGGAGGAGTGCCAGGCTCCCAAGAGGAAAAGTACTCAAGTTTCTTACTGCATCTAGAGTCTTCAGCTATTCACAGCATGTGTTCCACGCTGATGTGGATTGTACGCCTCCAGAGCAGTATACAGAAGTTTAGTTTATTCTTTGGCCTGTAATAATTCTGGGAGATATGAAAGCTCTATCAAGATGTGTTGTCCCACTTTGAAATGCTAATGTCCGTTTCCAGAGTGTGGCTGGTATCAAGAGCAGCATCTGCAGCGCTAAAGAACTTTAAACCTCTATTTTTTCTGTAAATACACTAACAGGCAGTTGTTGAGATGGAGTTAAAAGGCCTAAGGGTAAATTAAAATCATTACCTCCAGTGTGAGTTCGTTAGAAGTGAAGTCTCTGTGGTGCCAGATTAATGAGTATAAAATTCATACTGCAAAGCAATAGATTATTTCTTCATTTGTGATACTGTACGGGTAAGAAATCTTACTGTAACACTCTAGAGTAGTGCATCTGTTTAACATTGAAATCATGTTGGATATAAAAGAAGTGACCATTCATTTTAGAAACACCTTAAATGAAGATTATCATATTAATTCTTAAAACAAATGCTTCTGAAACCAAAATTGCACGGAGTGCTTAAGCTTCTTTAAATGGTGGAATAGCAAGCATTTTGTTTTGCTGTGAAAATGTCCCAGAGTCTCCAAAACCCAGTGTTGCTTAAAGTTGTATTCAGAGCAGGACAATCCTTTATTATGGTCTCTTCCCATCCCAATTTAAGTTAGTTATCCAAAACAACACAATACTCATAACCTGAAAAGAGTACTTTATTTTTCTGAAGAACTGAAGTTATTTTCAAATGAGAAATTATTTGTGTAGGTTTTGTACAGAATTAAAAAAAAAAAATCCTATACACTTATGTTTTTAATGCCAATTACAATAAGAATCAGCTGTGCTGCTAAAATTGTCAAGAAACAGTTTAGATTTTGAACCATAAATGTATGGTTAGAAATGTTTCCCCTAGAAGTCTATAAAGGGGATTTTCATACAGCATAGCCATGTTCTGTGTTTTCTCCCTAAGCCTGACATAGTAGTCCATACAACTGAACTGTTTCTGTTCAGAGGGGTATGTTAATTCTGAAATCTAAATAAAGTAGCTTAAAATACATTATTAAAAATCTCACTGCTGATCATTTTGTCAGAAACATTAATCTGTAATGGCAATTTGGAATTTTAATGAGCTTCAGGGAAAAATGATCTATGATAACTTTAGGAGTTGCTCTGAAATCTTTATGAAGGCTATGTTGGCAACTGTATTAAGATTTCATAGAGTCATAGAATGGTTTGGTTGGAAGGGACCTTAAAGACCATGTAGTTCCAACCCCCCTGCTGTGGGCAGGGACACCTTCCACCAGACCAGGTTGCTCAAAGCCCCATCCAGCCTGGCCATGAACACCTCCAGGAAAGGGGCATCCACAGCTTCTCTGGGCAACCTGTCCCAGTGCCTCACCACCCTCATGGTGAAGAATTTCTTCCTAGTATCTAATCTAAATTTTCCCTCTTCCAGTTTAAAGCCATTGCCCCTTGTCCTGTCACTCCATGCCCTTGTAAAAAGTCCCTCCCCAGCTTTCTTGCAGGCCCCTTTTAGATACTGGAAGGCTGCTCTGAGGTCTCCCCGGAGCCTTCTCTTCTCCAGGCTGAACAACCCCAACTCTCTCAGCCTGTCCTCACAGGAGAGGTGCTCCAACCCTCGGATCATCTTCATGGCCTCCTCTGGACTCGCTCCAACAGGTCCATGTCCTTCTTGTGCTGAGGACCCCAGAGCTGAAGGCAGTGCTGGAGGGGGAGTCTCACTACAGCAGAGTAGAGGGGGAGAATCCCCTCCCTCGACCTACTGGTCACACTGCTTTGGATGCAGCCCAGGATATGGTTGGCTTTTTAGGGTGCAGGCACACATTGCCGGGTCATGTTGAGCTTCTCATCCACCAGCACCACCAGGTCCTTCTCCTCAGGGCTGCTCTCAATCCATTCTCCACCCAGCCTGTATTTGTGCTTGGGATTGCCCTGACCCATGTGCAGGACCTTGCACTTGGCCTTGTTGAACTTCATGAGGTTCGCACAAGCCCACCTCTCAAGCCTGTCCAGGTCCCTCTGGCTGGCATCCCTTCCCTCCAGCATGTTGACCGCACCACACAGCTTGGTGTCATTGGCAAACTTGCTGAGGGTGTGCTCAATCTCACTGTCTGTGTTGCCGACAAAGATGTTAAGCAGCACCGGTCCCAATACCAACCCCTGAGGAACGTCACTTGTCACTGTACTCTAATCCTGATCCCCAAATAGCACAGGTGATGCCCTAACGTAAGTTCAAAGAAGAAAGAAGGAGGACTAAAGAAGAAAATATTAACAAGAAATTATGCTCTTCCAGCAGTTGTAAATCAGCTATCCTACTGATACATGAGCTGGAAGGAAACTACCCTTTAGCATCTTAAGTATTTATAGATATTATTTACGTGCCAAAATAACTTCTGGGTTTTGTGTTCTTGAGATACTAGTTTATTTAAAATAGTATTAGGTGTCTAATTTAGAAAAGATAAAAAAGTAGTATTGTGCTTGCCTGTCTGTTTGTATTAATATATTTATTGATACTATATCGATTTTCATTTATATATCTTTTCATATCCTAGAATACTAGATTTTGTAGCTTGAGTAATGAAGACTTTTTTTTTTTTCCTTTCCAGTACCAATACTGGCTTGCGGTGGTGATGATTGCAAAATAAGTTTGTTTATACAGCAGAATGGTCAGGTAATTACAGTTTTTGTGTCTTGCTCAGAACATTGCTCAGTTCTGCTTCTTTTCTTTTTGTATGTGCTGCTTTTTGAGGTTCTTCTATAATTACTCTCTGTCTCTAGGTAGCCATCACGTACAACTACCTCTGTTCAAATAGTTCATCCATTTTTCTAGTTAATGATGAAATGCATATACAGAATGTTGAAGTTGGATTCAGTGCATAAAAGTGTTAGTTTTTCTTATTTTTTCCTTGTGTGAAGATAGCCTGTGTTTCTGTTGCCACTGATACAAAATAGCTATGACTGTCTGTCTTTATTGAGTATCCATGCATTGAATGGTTTCTATGGAAATGATGTTGCTTTCAGTCTGTAAATTCTTACGATAAAACTGATATGATTTCTATTTGTGGAATTGTAAGTTTGTTGCTAAGTATGCCCTTTGTGCTGAATGCTTATGAATGTTGAAAGACGTATTTGAATGAGTATCTGATCTTCTAAAAGCACACACACTTTTCATGTATTATTCGCAAGCTGGCAATCTCTGGTTTTTCATACAGATAAATGTTCCTTTGGAGCACTAAAAGAGATTCTGTCCTCTCTTGCATCTGTTCACAAATTTTGTTAGGCTCTAATGAATGTGTTGAATGACTGTTTTCCAAAACAGAAGTCAATGTCACTTTTTTGTCTCTATCACTCCCTTAAAAAAACCCTCAAAGCACAAACACTGCCCCAATGCACCAATGAACCTACCATTCAGAAACCCCATTGAAACCGACATTTGTAGGAACCACTTACTCTTCGGGATTTGTTCAGGCACAGTCCCCTTAGAGATTAAAGAATAGATGCTCCTTTTTGCTTTTTGAGAGAGAGAAAAGCTACTTAATAGATAATTTTGCCTGTTCACACTGCCATATGCAATAATAAGATTTTTTTATTTTTTTGTTCATCAATAAAAGAAATGTTTCATTCTTTATGTGCTATGTTCAATGATTCCTTGACCAGTAAGTGGGAAAGAAGGTTTGCTTTCTTAGCTTTTTTTTTTTTTCCCCCCCCTGTGTAGCTCAGGAGTTAAATCAGTTTAATGACATTCTCTGGGAATTAGCAATGGCAGAATGCCACTCGTGATTCTCAGTGTGCTGAAGAAAGACTTTTGTCTTAGGGGCCACACAGTAGATTATCCTCATTCAAAATCTGGAACTTGTTTTCTTATATAGTTCAGATTAACAAATAATACACAGTTTGCCAAAAACGTGGAGATACGTAACTTATTTTGCCAGTTGTTGACCAAACTTTTGAGTGTAGCAACATTCTTAGCCGTTCTTAAATGCAGTCAGTCTGTGGAGGATAAGGGAGGTAACTGGAATAAACAAGCTCCATCTTCAGCTTCATGAGCAAGTTTATGGTGCTGTCTCTTTTTGGAGGTAGGCAACTTTATTCATACAAGGAGTGAGGAATTTTCTTTTATTATACGTGTTATTTTTCACACCTTCAATTTTAAGAAGTATTTTCACCACCTGTCCTGGCAGAGTTGGCAATCAGAGTCTCTCTCTTTTAAATGAGGTGGGACTTCTGGTTGGTGTCTATCTTAGCTTTCCAGAGCATCTCTTTTAACTAAGTACACAGTGCAGACCTCAAAGAGAAGAGCCCAAATTTGATTCCATGTGGAGTAAAAATGCCTCTGTAGTACCTTATGGCTGTTAACAGAATGAAAACATCCTTGTGAGCCTTCTGACATACATTCCTTCCTAGCTGCTAGAGGGAGGTTCTCTTCAGTCAGATTCTCTTAGATCTGCTGACACTTTTTTAATGGCTTCTGTAGTACTTTTAAAGGTATTTGAAGAAAGCGTTACTGTCATCCTGCCATTTTTTTTCTGGAACTCAGCATAGAAGAGTGATTAGGATCTAAACTTCTGCATCATTCCCTCACTGGTAAGGGCCTGTAGCACTGTCCTGTTAATTGTGACTCTTGGAAACCTCTTTCTTTAGTTAATGTCCTAAAAAAGATTGAACCCAAAGGTAGAATGTAAGTTCATAACACGATGTTCTAATGAAACTTGGAGGATGCTGTTATACTCTGAGGGAGGACGAGGCATCTTCAGTTCCCTGATTCAGGCTACCTTTTAGTAAACACATTAATTTTACTGTTGAAAATATTTATTCATAAAAACTGATTGGTTTTTGAAACTGAGTGGGCAGGCTTCAAATCCTTCACAGCTCTCTACCCATAGATCCCTTACTGTGTTAAGCAGTAGAAAGAAAATGAACTCTTTGCTTTTCTGAGCTCTCAAAAGAAGGTATTGATTTATAAAAGTACCCAGGGAAAAATCTTTCAGAAACCATTATATGTCTTCCTGTTTGAAATAGTACAGGCCTGTGGTGGGGAAGTAAGTAAACCAGAGGATCAAAATAGAGCTTTAAAACAAAACATTTCTATGTAGAGCTTGGTTTCTGTGAGACGAATTTGAGGTGCATATTTGACTATGTTTCTCCTAAATAATTTGGCCTAATTAAAAAGTGGAATAAGAGACTCAAAGATAATTCAGGCTCTTTCTAGTTCGATGAGATTAACAGCTAGATAGAGGAGGGATATCACATCTGATGTCCCGTGGAGAAAAAGGGAGAAGACTTGGACCTCTGTTGCCAAATTGGCCAAACAGTACTACCAGCCTGGTCCTGAAGGACATGTACCCAAAGCATGGGCAGAGTTAGTTATGCAGAATGTGCTGGGCATGTCCACAGATAACCTGGCTTCGTTAGTTCTGCTGTGCTCAGAACAGCTTTATTCTTTGCCTAAAAGAAAAGAGACCAGACTACTGCTACACAAAAGTGTTCAGAGATTAGTTAAGAGGCATGGGAAAGCCTGTGAAGTAGGTGAGTCTGACAGCGAGCTTTTATTAGATTTAACTGTTGGTACTGTAACTTCTTATGTATCCAGTGAGGACCAAGGGGGAAGCTGAAGTAGAGAAGGAGAAATGTGAGACTGTAGAAACAAAATCTATAAAAATAAGAAGAATGACAGATCAAAATATATATAAATATAACCTAGGAAATAATAAAAACTTTGACTGAATCATTTAAAAATAATGACCATGTGTATCTGCAAGAAGCTTTAAATTGATGTGAATTTAGAACAGAATATGTCTGAACAACCAAATGTGTGATACCAAGAGACACAGACTTCAAAGAAAATGGCAAAAACAATACAGAAAACCCAAGCGGAAGGCATAACAGCAACACTACTCCTTGTTCGGTTTCAGTGGATGGCTTTTATTTTTATGGGAAGCAATATCTTGAAAATTTTGAGTGAATGCTTCTTCTATAGCACAGAAGAAGGCTAAGTAGTGCCTAAAAGTGAATTTGGGAAATGACTTAGAAACCAGGGGTGGTATTAATAACTTCGAAGTAATTAGTTTTACTCTTTAAAGAGAAAACAAATGTCTGCTTTTCTTAATAGTTCTTTTTGATGTGAGGCGATGAGGGTGATTTAAAAAAACAACACCTTGAGATTAAAAATAGGAAAATTATTAGGTGTGTGTTTAGATTAATATTAAAGTCAAGTTTCAGGAGATATACACACTGTTCAGCATAAAAGGAACCATAGAAGACAAGAATATTAGCAATAGTTCAACCTGAACCAGTCTTTCAGTTGGGAATAAATTTACGAACTAACCTTGGTGAATGTAAAATACAGAGCATTATGTCAAAGATCATATAAATGAATGAATAAATAGGTGTTTTATCTATTATCTGAAATACAAAATGCTAAAAAGATTTTTTTTTTTTTTTGTTTTTTTGGTTTTTTTTAAATGTATTGCCAGAAAGATGTAGTCTTCAGAAAAACCTTTAGGTCGCTGTTTCATCTCCCTTCCTGGGCTGTTCCGGCCTTTATTTACACATAACCAGTTGGATGTTTAATGTAAACATCTATCTGGAATGCCACATTCAGAAGTGCCAGTGAGTGCAGAAGTGACTAGCCAAATGAGGCTTGGGTGGCTGTGAGAACACGTTCTTAAGCCCAAAACTTTCTGATTTGGAAGTTCTGTTAAGCTGTTCTGGTCATGTATCTCATAATGTTCTGTAACATGAAGACTGCAAATGCGGAACAAGGAGAAGCTGGGTAACACTTGATGGGAAGGTGATTTTGGAGAATGTCAGGAATGTTGGACCAAAGAGGGAGGCACCGATTTCCGCGTCTGATTTTTTTCATTCTCATTTTCCATACTCGTACAAATTTTTCCTTTAGGTGAGTTACGATTGCTCACCATCTCCTCTGAAGCCAAAGACAGAGATATTGAGAAAGCGGCAACACAATGAGAAAGGCTTTTTTCCCCTCCCTTCCCTCCCTTCTTCATTTTCTTTTTTCCTCCCTTCAGATGGGGAAAGATACCTCAGTTGCAGACTTATGCTGATAGCAGAGGCTGCCATTTAATATTAACTCTTAGTAGGCCTAGGTAAGGGATTGAGAAGAATATAATGTCAGAAATAATGTGATAGTTATTCATACTAAACTACACCAATGTTTAAACTGTAATGGTTATTTCAGTCACTTTAATCAACTTGGGGTCAAAAAATGTCATGGAAGTAGGGCTTTTTCTGGGCAAAGAAAATTAGGAATGGTTTAAATGCCAAGTAAACACTTGTACCTTGATTGAATCAAAATAAAATGGTACTATTAGATATGTTATGAATGAAGATATACTAATAATGAAAGTTTTTTAGATGGGAATAAAAAAAGTTTTCATTCCTGCGTTCTTGAGCCTGTGTTCATGCAGAGTTTTCCGTCAGCAGATACAGTTCTGGATGTATACCTTCCTTAGAATCTTAGTCAATAAACTTAAGAAACGTAGGGAATATTTCTAGCCCCATAAGTAATTCTTATTAATAGTATTATATTACAAATTAATCATTGAAATAATTTCAAAACATTTATTCTTCTTTTTACGCTTCATTTTACATATATTCATTTTCCACATCTTCTGCAGTTGCATCCACTTTACACGTGTAATAGAAATTATTTACCATGTCATACCGACATTATGTTATTCTTTGTGTACCACTGTAAGCCTGATAAGCCTAAAAAAATTTTCATCTGTATCATAGAGAGACTGTAGCCTCTTGAAGGTGAGCAACTTAAATTCTCATTCTTTCCTGCTCATATATGGGAAGCGCCATAATGTGACACGTTTACCCAATGGTGGCAAAACCAAAAAAAGGCTTGTTTAGAATCAATCTGTAAATTACAATCCTTAGTAGTAGCTGGTTTTTCCAGTTTCAACTACTGGAAGCTGTCAATATAAAAGACTTGAAAAGCCAAAGCTAATTGCTGATCTGTGCATGGTAATTAAGTGCCTTTCTATGATGTAACAGGAATTTTTATTCAGTTTCAGAAAACGTTAATACTCCCCGGCCATGAAGATTGGATAAGAGGCATTGAATGGGCAGTCTGTGGTCAGTATGAAACATGAATAAAGTGGAATACTGGTTTAATGACAATACTCCTCTTTCCCCCCTCTAGCAGATGGCTTTAATGTACTGTAGCGCCTAAGCTCTTGTGGTTGTGATTTCTTCCCCCCGTCCCCCCCGGAGATGGTGGTACAAATATTAAAAATCAAGGTAAAACTTTGTGTCGTGTTAAGACATAAGAATTGTTGAACCTGCACTACAGTTATATTTTAGTCATCAAAATTATGGCTACAGTAGGATTGATACAGAACACTCACATCCCTCATTTTGTCTTGCTTGCTTCAAGTATGTTTACCTGGCTGGTAGCTAAATGCAAACAGGAGTTTGTGCAAATTGTCCTTTTCCATATGCAAATGTCTGTATCTGAGTGAGGAGGAGTTGGCAGCTTTTTCAAAGGGGGGGAAGGTAGGGAGAAATAGTACTTTTCTTTTCCACTCTCCACCCTCCTCCCCTCCTTTTTTTTTTTTTTTTTTAAGACTAGACGATTAAGAGGAGAATGTGTTCAGATGTTAACTAATCAAATAGTTCTTAGAATGGCAAAGATAAAGTAGAAGGAATTAGAGGATGCTACAATCCTGAAGAAAGAAAAGGAGGAAAGGAGTTCTTGAAGAGCATTGAGGCTGTCAGAATTTCGAGAGCGAAGGCCATAAGTAGTAGGGAGGTATATGTAAATGTGTACAGTATTTACCATGTCTTCCATGTTCTTATAAGCAGGGAAATGTCTGTAGTCAGTGTATTATAAACTAGTAGAGAGTTTGAAATGGGAGAGCGCGTTGATGTTGAAATAACACAGTAGTTTATGGTACTGTGTATGATAGGAAAAATTAGGATAATGCTGTAGGGCATATTTGGACAGATGGTAGGTTAGTCATGGCAGCGGTTGAAATGAAAAAGCAATGAAAAGATGGCTCTAATTTATTTCTTTTTTAAACCAATTAGGTGAAGACCTTTTCTTAGCAAGCTGTGCTCAGGATTGTTTGATAAGAATTTGGAAAGTGTGTACAAAATCAAAGCAACTTCCAGAAACTGAAGACGATGCCATAAGACTGAAAGAGAATGTTTTTACTGTCAAAGGTAGATAATAGCTGTGAAATTCTCTTCCGCAACTTTTCACCTGTGTATCTGTTCGTGGTTTCAGGGGCGCTAACAAGGTGGTTACCATCTAATTTGGTTTGATCTCAGATTCTTTTAATGGAAGAAACAATTTGACCACATTATTTTTATTCAGCTGTTAGAAAAAGTGGAGTTGCTGTTTTAAAGCCATGTCTGTGTAAAGTTAATGATGTGTTAGAAAAAAATGGTAAAGCAGTGAGAAATCTTAATGTCAACATGTGTTGTTACACATATTCCAAATGCAATATATAGGAGATTTATTTGTCCGTGGGAGGTAAGCTGTTGTACAGTTCTCCTCCAGTTTAATAGCATACCTTTAATTTTCTTTCAAATTCAATGCATTAAGAGGTGCCACTATTACTTAAACCTTAGGAAAGTACTACAGAGAACAGGTAAGTATGTGCAGGCTTACTTTATGGTTATTTAACATACTGTTTGAGCACTGTAACATCAGAAGTTCGCAACGCTGATGATGTGGGGTAAATTATTAGGCAGCTTAGGTAATATAATGAAGTTTCTATGACGTTATATGTAGAAAACGCTTATGATACTTGCTGCAAATCCTGATTCATTTTTGAAGTATCTGTATTTATAGTCATTTGGAGATGTAAATATGCCTAAGAGCCAATGTCAGAGCATTTATTTCAAAATTGCTTGAGAGTTCTCCAGGAATTCTGTGATACCACTCTGAGGCAATAGGCTGACCTCTTTGTGTCAGTCTGGTACTCGGGGCAGAGTAGGTTTTCAAGGAGCTGTTCAATGTCAATAGGCTATTGAGATACTGGTAGATGATGAAAGCAGTCGATTTTTTTCACTGAAGATACCAGAAATGACCTGATCTTTCTTGGCTTTTAGAAAGAAATGTGCTTTTTTCTGGTTTGTGGTAGATGCTGATACAACATATGCAGTTACTTTGGAGTCAGTGTTGGCTGGTCATGAAAACTGGGTATATGCAGTTCACTGGCAACCTTCGTTTTCCAAAGGTAAAAAGGTACCAAACACTTAGCAGTTATGTTAAGTGTTGTATATATACAGTCACATGTCTTTGTATTGTGTTTGCATGTTCACTTGTCACTGTGGACTATGAAAACGTTTAAATTCTGCAAATAATGTTTTATAAGTAGGTGGATGTTGCCTTTTACTTATGTTTTCTTTAATGAATGAAATAAAATAACTGAGCTGTACTGGCTTTATTGTAATTGATTTGTTGTTTATGGAGTACAAATTAGTTTAATCAGTATGAATTAATAGCTCTAATAGTTTACCTTGATGTATTTGAAATGTCTGTTCTTTGGCGGGTAAGCATTAACTCAACAGCGCTCCTTTCTTTTTCTTGGAGTAGAAAGGCACAAATAGCAACATTCAGAAGATTAATCTTCAGTCTTCTGTGCATTAATATAAAATGCCAGGGATTCCTTGAGTATCAGTTTTCTCTAGCCTGTAGCTTTAAGGCATTAATGCAGACTGTCATTGAAAAAAATGTTATTCACAGTTTAATTTTGCATTTTGCCCTAGTCTTTATCTTTCTTTTTAAATCCTTAAATTCTGACAATCTTGTTTGCAGTACTGATTTGCTGGTGTGTGTCTGCTTGGTGTATAAGGGAAGTAGATTCATGATTTGACATGTTTGCACGGTCAGAATGCCCTTGTGAATTTGTATTGGCAAAGGTGCCTTTTTTTCCTGAGATGTCATCTACCATCAGTAAATCTAAAATTTTACCAGTACGACTCACAACTTTGCCAGCGTATAGACAACTCTTGAACATTAGAGTACAATTAGAATGTCAAAATACATGGAGTGAAAGACACAGGGCTTGCTTTCGAAATATTGGCTTATCTGTTCTTTAACTTTATTTTTAGACACCAGTAAAAGATTTTGCCTGTTAAAGCAATGTTTAGGCACAATATAGGCATGTAAGTCTTGCACTGCAATCTGAAAAACTGTCCTGTTAGACCATGAAGTTTTCCAGGTGTCTTACATCATACTTCTGCATATGTACAGCTGCTTGCGTTCTGTGGCCTGCCCAATCTTGGGTTCCCCAAAATGAGTTTTCTTTTTCAGTAGAGGCAGACTGATCTGAGAGACATATTCTCAATGCAGAAGGTATGAGGTCTGGTGCTGACATAAGATACCACCTTGTGACATGCCCACCAACATCTCCATTCTCAAGAAAGGTTCCTCAGGGGTTTTCCTATGGGTTTTGCAACTGGGTGATGAACCAGTTCCCTCTTCCCTGTTTCGACTGTGTTGCGCAGTTGTCTGGAGTGTTTCACTGCATTTTGGGGAGCAATCCTTACTACTGTATGTATTACAGGGTGCTAGAATCTATTGAAGTCTGTAGAGAATCTAACAGTTAATGTGCCAAAAAGGTGCAGTGAATACCGGCATAGAAATTATTTTGTTTTAAATTGTAAATCTCTTGGTAAAAACTTACTTGAGGAATTGAACTGAGAACTGCTATTCAGTCTCCCTGTGATGCTCTAGCTTTTCCTCCAAATTACATTTGTTTCAATATCAATTTGGAGTGAATAAACAGTAGAATATGCTTGTTCTCACGTACGTGTTTTACATTTCCTTTGGGAGATTATGGCTGAAAAATACAATACCTCGTAATGAATGCCTGGCAAGAATGTAAAGCCTGTTAAGTCTGGTGTTTATATACTGCATTGCACGTCTCTGATGCTGAACATTTTTCTTAGCATGTTTGGATTTCAGTATGACCAAATTCTTTTAAAAAGTATGCTCATAGGTTGTAGGTTCATCATTTTCCTTGTACTGTAGATGGCAGCATGCAACAGCCAATGAGGATACTGTCTGCGTCAATGGACAAAACTGTGATCATCTGGGAACCTGATAAGGAATCTGGAGTCTGGCTAGAACAGGCAAGTGTCAGTCTTTCTCACAATATGTACTGCATTCAAGTTATGTTTCCAGTATCGAGCATGTACTGTAAGGAACAAAATCTCTATAAAACACTGGGAGAGAAAGGCAAAAGCATTTTCTTGCAAAAATACTCATGCTGTGTTGCGAGTAAAGCTCTATTTTTCAAAAAGGATCTGATGCAATATGATTTTTATTGCTTGTTTGCTTTCTTATTACCCTATTGGGGAGGTTCTAAGGGGAGTTTTGCTCAACTGTCATTCATAGTATCGCAAGCCAGGGGCTGCATAGTAACACATGCTGTGTACTCCTGGTAAGGAGAGGAAGAAACCCTCCTGAGTTACTTATAGTTAATCCTTGTGGGAATGTGCACCCAAGCAGTTACTACAGAGCAGCTGACACGCAATTCACAAGCCTGGTTTTACTCACAGTAACTTCTTCATGGGCAATGTTGTTAGGTTTGTCTTCCATTTGAGCTGGGTACTCACACTCCTCTGTAGTACACTGAATGCTATTCTAATGTGGATCATCCTAAATAACCAAGTAGTACAACCAGATTTATCTAGTGCTTTGGTAGGTGTCTTTGTTTTCAGTTGACCTGCTTTTCCAAATTGCAGTAGTTCGGCTGAAATTGTTTGTGTTTGGTTATGCCAACCATAGTTTATGATCTTTCCTGTCACAAAGGAAGTTCCAATCCTCTCTTGGGTGAAAAAAGAGAATTACGGTACTGTATTTTAATTTTTCCCCTTTTCCATTGAAAAGGTCTTGCCTTTCTACTTGAAGTAGAAATCAGTTCATAATAGGATGATCACATAGAGATGCCATTTGTTGTCCCTATTTGTAATGCTTAGTTGTGGCTAGATTTACAAGCTTTTAAAAATGGCTTGTGCAGTAAAGCTTGTTGCTAGTTGTTACTCTTTCTTGTCACATTCCGTTTGCATTGGTTAGGCCCTAAATGTGCAGCTTGCGGTTCCGATCAGACATTTCAACTGCAACAATCCTTTTTGCATTGAGGGAGGGGAAACCTGAGCTGGAAGCCTGCAGGAAGGAAGGGCACAGAGGGAACATCCCATTTTCTCTCTTTCGTTTTAATACAATGAACAAGAAGTCTTCAAAAAATTATTCCCCTGCTCAGAGGTGAGGCCAGAATTCTGCCTCTAGCGTGGCATATCAAAGTTACTTCCATACAAGCAGTATGTTTTTTGAATGAGTGCTAATAAAATGGACATACTAATCCACACTGTCATTTAGGATGATTCATAGATTCATTTCATTGTGATCTTAAAAGCGGCTGTATAATAATAGGGGAAATGTTAAAAGTTCAGCTTGGAAGGAATTGTGGTCTTGTCTCTTGTATAAAACTTGAAAATGTAACTTTAATAATCTTTTAATGTAATTAAAAACTTGGAAGAGCACTAGAGCAACAATAAGGCGCGTGTGTATGCATGCATACATACATGCAAAGTCACAAGGGAAGCACAAAACAGAGGCCAAAATGTGCCATAGAAGGAATGTGGGGCAAATTGCGGGGATTCATGGAGAAACAGGGAAGTGCAAATACAGTAGTGAATCTTGGAAATTAAGGTGGAGGGGAGGGAAGTAACTGGGAACGACCATTCCTTTGGACTGTTTGTCTGTTTTGTGCAACAGAGCAATAGCAAGGCAACAGGTGACAAGAAACACTTGCATCCAACAGACTGGGCTGAAACATAGAAAGATTGGGTTCCCATCTCATCTAGAATAGCGTTTTCTTTCCCTTGGGGAATTGAGCAAGATTCTATCCTGAGATGTTTATGAAAGGAGACTCCATTAAAGTGACATGCAGCTTTAATTCCCATGATATTTTAGTGCTTAACTTTGCAATTAAAATATTCTTTAAATGTATTTTTGCGTGTGATGTGAACTCTTGCCAATAGCTAAATTTTCATCTCATGAGATTAGGATGAGTTTATATGAATAGAAGGCCATTTTCATGGACATTTCACTTCTGATCATTCATTCAGGTGCGGGTAGGTGAAGTGGGTGGCAATACCCTTGGATTTTTTGACTGCCAGTTTAGTCCAGATGGTTCAATGATTGTTGCTCATGCTTTTCATGGAGCACTACACCTTTGGAAACAGGCTACAGTTAATAAGGTACGTGGGGTTTTTTTATTATTATTAGTAGCAATACTTAAAAGAATTACACTTATATGTCACTTGAGATAAGTTCTATTGTTAATAGAAAAACGTAAAAGTACAATTTAAAATTAATGCTTGAAATAATCCTTCTCTGAATATAATATTCTGTAGGAGTCTCACTCCTGCATGGAAAGGAGGTTGCAGTCTCCCAGGCTCTAAAACCTGTGGCTTCCCTGTGGGAACCATAACACCAGTGGAATAGACTGAACTCCTTTGTGGTTGTGCTTTGTTCAGAAGTGGCAGCTGAACCAGTAATACAAGTTTCTCTTAGGCTGGAGCAATAAATCAGAATTTGTGTCTCTTTATCCACTCTGAATTCTAATAATTTGCTGTTTTCAAATACCTTTTTTTTTTTTTTTTCTTTCTTAGTAAGGACATTGATACTTTTATTTTGGTTAAGAATATGCCAATCAGTCAATTGAAAACTCCTTGCTGCTTTGGTGACTTTTTTTAATAGAAAGAATGGACTCCAGAAGTTGTGATTTCAGGACATTTTAACAGTGTAGAGGATGTAAAGTGGGATCCAGAAGGAGAGTTTATCATCAGTGTTGGTTCTGATCAAACTACTAGACTCTTCGCTCCATGGAAAAGAAAACAAGGGACAGAGGTATGATCTTCAAAGATTTTCTGAGCTTGGTAAAGAGGGCTTGTCTGTCCTGAGTTTGGAACAAGTCACCTGAATATAACTCAAACCTTAAATTTCCCCAAGCCATGATCTGTTGTGTAAATGCTTGGTTTGGTCATTCAGTATGTGCTGTTTTCACTTTAAAAATACTGGTGGCAGAGTTTTAGCAATCACATAGCATGACTGCTGTTTAATCCCGAGTTCACCTCTGGGTTACACTCATTTAGTGTTCTCCCAGGGTCTTAAAAACCAGGCTCTGCAGTAATTCAGGAGGAGGAATACGTGGCTGATTTTAATAACAATCTATTGCCCTTGTTTAACACTTGGCTAAGCACTGCTGTAGGTAATCATAAACAAACTCAACTTTGTGGGGTTTTTTTTGCACAAGCTTAATCTAAGCAAAATTCTTACTGTATTTTTTACACCATTTTGTGTATGACTCTGGCAGTTTTACCAGAACGATTATCTGAACTGCATGAGTGCAGCTGGTACCTGTGCAGGCAACTTTTCAGGAAGAATTATTCCTGAATAACTTTGTGTCTTCCAAAATAAGTCTAAATTTTGGTGTGGAAAACCTTGTCTAGGAATGCAGAATTTCCTGATTCTAGTTGCTCATGCATTTTCCTCATCTACAAATACAGCTTTTTCTGGCAGAACAGTACTAATGTTCCATTCAGGAAACTGGCAGAAACTAGACTGACTGAAGTCATCTAAGGCCCTGTGCAAGCTGTGCTATTAGCTGAGGGAGGCAAAGGATGGCTATTACAACTGTCTTATCAAAGCTTCTGTAGTGTAGACCAGCACAGGATGTCTCATGTCTTTGAGAGGGTGAATTTGGGATCAGTTTCTTGATTTCCTTCTTCCAGGCCCCACAGAAGTGATGGCAATCTCAGCTAAAGTGCTAAGCTTTTTCTTGTATTGTAGGAAGGGCATCTCCAGTTTCATTCTCTTCCTTTTCCCCTAATCTCCAATCTGGAGGGTGCAACAGATTTGTGGAAAAGATAGTGTGTTGGATTTGACATACGGAGTCAAAGTCCAGGACTAGCACATGATGTAAGTTGGCAGCATTCAATAGAGTTGTCAATATCATGCTCTCTGTGACCTACAGAAGTACCACTCTTTATTATGTATGCTACTTGCTAAATTTTTATCCTGTTTTCTGAAAGAACTGAGCTTTGTATGATTTACCTGTACAGCTGTTCCTGCTATCCCTGAAACTTTTGAATTAATTGGTTTAGCAGAGTGATTGCAGTCTTCAGATCTGTTTGGTGTGAACTGAATTATTGTACTTTCCCCATTCTGGTCTGACACAGAGCAGCCACATAGCTTAGTTTGACCAGGTGTACATCCAAGTAGCATCAACACTTGTTGCTGCATGGGGTGTGGGAGAAAGCTGTAGTATCTTGTACTATAGGTGGAGGGTTGAGATAGATAGAAATGGGTCATCTGAAGGGGTGCGTTCGGGATTTCTGAACGCTGAAAACCAGGTGTTTAGTTCTGCCGCTCATGAACTTAGATAATGTAGGCTTTTAAAATGCCGTACTGAGTTTAGCGTCTGAAAAATTACAACAGGTGACATCTGATGTTTGTCTTAACACACAATGGATGGTTCAGATATCTATGAAAAGTTAGTATTACAGCTCAATATTCATGTTTTTTCTCTATAAAAAGAGAACGAAGTGTTAAATGCAAATAATTACCCCTTCTTAAAATCTCAATTCTGATATTTTACTGGGCCCAAATATCAGAAATGAGGGATAACAATCAGCTTCAATTTGTCATGCAAATTTGCACCCTGATTTTTCTGGAAGAAGCTTATTGCATGACTTCTGCAGCCCTCTGTTTTGGGATTTAGTTTTTTTGGTTTTTTCATTCCTGTTATGTGCTATGTTCTAAAGTATGCAATGATGCACTTAGTAAAGGGTAAGAAGGATTTCTTGCACTGTTTGCTTGTTTCGCTTTTTGTTTTGTGTGTGTTTTGTTTTGTTTTTTTTTTAAACAATTAATGCTTTTTTCTCATTGGAAAATAATTAAGCTCTTGTGCAAACATGAGATTTTGTAGGATCCGTCAAATATCCCATTCAGGTTCTATTGGAAGCTTCAACATTGGAAACTAAATTGAATTTTTAATGTGATATATGCAGTTTACAGTCAACCTAATGCTGTTCCGTATGTTGGCATATCTAGTACAGTGTAAATTCTGCCTTGGCTGCAGTTTTCCAGGCATGGTAATACTGAATTAGTCTAAAGTAAGTCTAATTGATTAAAGTAATTTTAATTCTGCTAGCTGTTAACTCAAAAGTGCACACTGTATTTTTCCAGCTATCATGTAGGAGTAGTGGCAAATGACACTTACTAAAAAACTTTTCATTAAAGTGTATTTGCTAGAAAACAAAGATTTTTTTGTTTGGTTTTTTTTTTTATTTTTTTGAGGAATCCATTTTTTTCACCTGTAGAATAAATTAGATTTTTATAAAAGCAATTTAAAGAATTTAATATCTTTTTTTGCTAATGTTCTTTGCTTAGTGTGACTGAAACTAACTTGTGTATCTAATTTCTGGTTAGCTGTTAATTCTGGTTTTCTTGGATTAATACTTGAAACGTGGCTATGAATATTTCAGGAAACTAGAAAAAATTAATACTTCAAATGAAAACAGTTCTAAAATCATCAGGATTTTCCAGATGTTTTTCCTATAAGAAGCTATTTTGGTTTTGTTAGTTTTTGCAAAGCTTCTATTAAATAGTCTCACTAAAATCAAGTATTTAAAGAAAAGGGGGAAGTAGGAACCTGCAGCCTGCTGACGGCAGTGCTGCTGTGCTTTGAAAGACAGATGAAGGAAGCAAGGTAATTATCACTAGCTTTCTTACGTCTTTCAGAGCTACAGTTTTGAAAGTAGCAAGTAGCGTACAATTCTCCTTTGGCTTAAGCAAATGATGTCCTATTCCTGACTGTCTAGCATAAAGAAGTCACAGTAAGTGCGATGTGCCCTTAGTAACAAAGGTAAACAAATGCCTTAAACATATCTGTGCAGGGACATAGTGTACTAATTACATTTATGTATGTGAGCATACATCAGTTTTATGAATGCCAGTAGAAGGTTGCTATTAACTTTATGTTAATAAAGTCAGCAATTAAAGTATTAGTACTTTTTTGGAACTCAAAATCTTGCTGCTTCTCTGGTAAGAACTGTGTTAACTGTGTGTCTGTTTGATTAGGTAACCTGGCATGAAATTGCAAGGCCTCAAGTACATGGATACGACATGCGTTGTCTGGCGATGATCGGCCGGTTTCAGTTTGTGTCGGGAGCAGATGAAAAAGTGCTTCGAGTTTTTCGTGCTCCCAAGAATTTTATAGAAAATTTCAGTAATATCACTGGTATTCCAATGAAGAAGCTGTGCTCCCATGTAAGTGTGCCAAAGCAATGCTAAATGAAGACAGACCTCTTTCATGTAAATAAAATTAATGCTGTAGAAAATGTCAAATTGCACTAAACTCCATAAAAATTCTTTTAATACTTCTGAAACCGTAACCTTGTTTTTCCTTTCCCTTCTATTTCCTTCCATGTATGTTGTTTCATATGTGTTCCTATGATGTTGTCTTATAAAACTGGTTGTATTTGAAACTAAACAAGACCCGGTGTCTGAAGATTGCAAAGAGTATGGGTGAATTTTAAATTAACCAGACCAAGTAGACTGCTGTACACACTTGGTGATTTGAAAGCAAACAATAAAGCCTGGGAACGTGCTTCTCCTTAATTTGAGGGTGTAGTAGTCTTGTCTAGATGTAATTATTGTTGTGTGGTTATGTGTTGTTGTTTTTTTTAATTGTATGCTTGGAAATAGGGTAAAGCTTTCAGCACTGTTGTTAGTTGTTACATATAAATATTTATAAATATGTACTTGCTCATGCTGTATTTCCTCTTGGCATTGGAAATGTTCTTGGGACCTACTCTGTGGAAAGATAAGACTGCAGAGTTGCCATCCTTTGTTTGCTCCCCATTTGCTTCAAGATGTAATTCTGTTTTTCTCTGCATTTTGTAGAGCAGACCTCATTCAGGGTAGTTGCCTCTGTACAGTGCCTTGCATGCTCTTTGCATTTCTGGCTCAAAAGCGGTGTTTTCTGTGCAGCTTCTCAGAGACGGATTAGCCTTTCCATTTCATTTAACAATTGAAATATCTGGGAAAGAAATCTATTCATTTTTGATAGCAAGAAGTTACATAAGTAGCTGTTTAGCACTTTAATTCTGTAAGACTTTGTAAGCATTTGTGTTAATGACATTGCACAAATAACATTGTGCTTTTGTAATGCTGGCAGATGTCATTATTTTACTTTTATGTAGACTTTCCGTATCAGCTTTTCCTCTGAGTCCTATTTTTTGATTGATGATATTGCAAAGTGTTTCACATGGCCTTTGTTTAAAGAGGAAGGCTTTTTGAGCTCTAATGATACAACTACTCTTAAATAGCTTTATTGAAATTGTTTTCTATGAATGCTTTTTTTTATTAAACTAGGTAAGCTCTTTCTTAATTTAGCTCAGATGCCTTCCCAAAAGAAGTACTTAAAACCAAAAAAACACAGCTTTACATTCAAAAAGCGTTGAATAGTATTATATTCGGTTAAAATCCATGGGATTGTATTATTCTTTGGGTTGTATTGAAGAACTATTTTTGTTTTAGAAGGCTTAGACTGGTGTGTGTCTGTCATACATTTTCTCATCAAATTATGAACATTTAAATGAATAGCGTAGTATTTTAAGCTGTCACCTAAATTATTAATCCTATTCTGTAAAACAGTCTGTCTTTGAACTTTTCAGACACTGTAGTGAAGGGGGTTTACAGCTATTAAATCTAATCTTTTTCCGTCTCTGTGCAAAGGGCCCCAAGTTCACTTACGCTTCCTAAATTTTGGCTTTTTGCCCTCTACCTTTATGGAAGTATTTTCTGTCTCATGATTTGTCTTTCCTCTGTGCTGCTCTAAACAGGCACCTACTCCAGGCACATCTCTGTGCTATGTACTGAGTTGTGTTTGAAGTTGTGAGCAGAGGCAGTCACCCTCTCTCCCCTCTTGCAAAATGCTGCTTTATTATTTCCCCTCAAAACAAACTATTTCCCAGTCCTATTGTATTAAAAACTGCAGTGCTCTCACTTAATCGATTAATTATCACGTATATCCTAGAATAAATAAAATTGTGGAAGAAAACCTGTAATTAGGGATGAAGATGCAGGCTTTACAGCAAAATCCTTGAGCTGAGTCCTTAGAAAAGCTGTTTTTTTCTGACAGAGTACTAGTCTTTGTTTTGCCCAGGGTATGTTCTGGGTGAGTTGGGAGTTTTTCAAAGTGCTCCCCTTCACTTCTCTAGAACAGTCACTCTCAGGGATTCCTTAAACTGTGGCCTTTGAAATCTGAACCTACATGACAATCCATCAATCCATGTGTAACCTTCTTTTTTTTTGTTTTGTTTTGTTTTTTTGTTTTGTTGATTTTTGTTTTTGTTTGTTTTTTTAATTAAGCAATCGTCTGATCTTCCAGAAGGTGCAACTGTGCCAGCTTTGGGATTATCCAATAAAGCTGTTTTTGAAGGTACGTCTAATGAGAAATAATGATGATGGTGTTTCATGTTGAAACTTTTTTTTAAAATTACTGTTTTAGTGTACATCCTTTTGTTAAGTCTGTCATTGTAAGCTTGACTGCAAGTTTAGAACTAGAATTGTGCAAAGTGTTTTTTTTCTCTGGTAACACCTAAACATGGTGCTTAAAAATTAAAAAAAAAAAAGCACAAGTGAGAATCTTTCCTCCCTTTCTCTGCCTTTGGTTTCTTCCCTAAACATCCCCTCATGTCTTGTGCAAACCCAAAATTCT